AAAAAAAAAAAAAAAAAAAAAAAAGTCGGAGATCTGTCTGCCTTAGCCTTCCAAGTAGCTAGAACTACAGGTGTGCGCTACCATGCCTGGCTAATTTTTTGATTTATTGTAGAGATGAGGTCTCGCCAAGTTGCCCAGGCTGGTCTCAAACCAGTTAGCTCAGGCAATACTCTCACCTGGGCCTCCCAAAGTGTTGGGATTAGAGGTGTGAGCCACCGCGCCCTGCTTATTTCTTATCTTAAACACTATGTTATGCTGACTTGAAATGTTATTCTAAAAAGCCAGAAAAATGCACCTGAAAAGTTTATGATCGTGACCCCCATAACGAGCACTAAAGTCTTAAAATATATTAATTTTTCATTATTCCAAATTTAAATATAAAATTTTAAAAATCACCATTATACTGCTCTATCTTCAATCAAACCACTATTATCTTTTTCAACTAGTCTTCTTTTATTCATATATATAATTGCTTTTTAAAAAATACAGTTGGAATAATATACATCATTTTCTATTTCACCTTTTGTCCTGTTATTTAACATCAATTCCTAAGATGAATAAAGTTTTGTAGACATATACAATTTGTCCATAAAATAAAAACTGATCTACAAGTTTAAAATTTCTACATTTTTATCCCAATGTTTAAAAAGCATTCATATAGGCTAGGCATGGTGACTCACACCTATAATCCCAGCACTTTGAGAGGCCGAGGTGAAAGGACTACGTGAGTCCAAGGGTTAGAGACCAACCTGGGCAAGTTGGCGAGACCTCATCTCTACAATAAATCAAAAAATTAGCCGGGCATGGTTGCGTATACCTATAGTTCCAGCCACTTGGAAGGCCGAGACAGAAGGATCACCTGAGCCCAGCAGGTCAAGGCTGTGGTGGCTGTGAGTGTGCCACTGCACTCCAGCCTGGGCAACACAGTAAGACTCTAACTCAGAAAGGAAAAAAAAAAATTCATATTTACCTGTCCAAGAAGTTAACTATGTTGGGATTCTTTAATTCTTTCATCACCAGAATCTCATTAATGATTAATTCCTTCTTTGGCTGTTTCTGTAAATTAATCTGTTTGATAGCAACCTATAATGAAGAATTGAAAAAAAATCAGGTTTATGAATTCTCTTACAAAATTACAAACACTAGCCAGTTAATAATGTAATTTATTGTACATGTATTATACAATGAGATTACTCATAGCTAGTGCTTTTACTACCATACTGTCTATGCATAATGCTTTGTAATATGTAGAGTCTACTTATTTTTAGATTTATCTTGAGATTGATTAACCAACCCAAAATCAATCCAGCATCAGGAATTAATCCTCTTTTCATTTCAAACTGAGAAAATACTTTTTTTTAACTTTTTGCTTATTTATGACATTATAATCATAATTTCTTCTTTGTTCCCCTTAATGAGAAAAGTGCTATAAAATAACAAAGAGCTATTCTTACAACATGTTCAACTTAAAAAGAGATTCCTACTGATTATTCCCAGCTCTACCCAGTTTCCTCTGAAAAGCTAGTGGCACTATCCAGAAGTATGAAAAAGTAGATACCTCCTGTCCCAACGCCACGTCTGTAGCAGTAAAAACTGTACCAGAAGCCCTGGTGGGGGGGAGGGGAGTGGGGGTGGAGAAAAGACACAACCAGATTTAAAGTTTCTAAAACTAAATGTTTACACTTCAAGCAATTGAAAAATAATTAAAGAACATTTCAGACTTAACATCTTCAAAAGGAGTAAAAGCAAAAACAAAAGAGAAGAGAAACAAAGAGAAGAAGCAATCTCCGTGACCAAAACTTACATTTGAAATATTTCAGACCCATAAAAATATTGGAAAAAAGATAAAGAAAACTATTTATAATATACACTCATAGATTCACTTCCTTGCTTTTAAAAGAAAAGAACTACAAATAAATTTGGAGATTCCTGTGTGCACTTTCTGACAGCATCTTCCCTCCTCCCAAAGGTAAACTGTATTTGGTATTTATCCTGTATTTGATTCTCTACACTTTTACTACAAAGGACATAAGTATGTATCACTATAAAATATACTTAGCCTATTTTTTTTTTTGAGTAGCAGTCTCACTCTGTCAGCCAGGCTGGAGTGTAGTAGCACACTCACAGCCACCGCAGGCCCAACCTGCTGGGCTCAGGCGAGCCTTCTGTTCAATATTCCAAGTAGCTGGAACTATAGGTGTGCACCACCATGCCTGGCTAATATTTTTTGATTTATTGTAGAGACGAGGTCTTGCCAAGTTGCCCAGGCTAGTGGAGAACCCCTGGACTCAGGCAATCCCCTCGCCTCCACCTCCCAAAGGTGCGAGCCACTGCGCCTGTCTCCTAGCCTAATTTTTAAATGTCATATGGTTTCATTTTATGTATTTTTCTACAATTTCCTTTTGTTATTCAATATTGGACATGTGATGGTAGTCCAGATGCCTAAGTATTATGTTCATTATTATTATATTATTCAGTGTATACTTCATCCATTATCATGGATAATGATCTGCTAAATATATTAAGATATTCAATTTTTTTGTTATAAAACCAGTGCTGCAATTCAATTTAGCTACTAAAAAGAAATTCATAAAGAAGTTTTCAAAAGGTTTATGCTCTCTTCCTAAATTCATAGAACAATTTCAGGGATCAATAACATTACAAATTCAAGGTATTCATTTGCTTCCAATAGCAGAAAAAAATTAATTAGTTCAGTTTAAAATACAAATTATTGGATGAATTCAGAAGATCATAGACTCAAAGATCAATCAATACTCAATATGATTTAAATGCATGTTTTTATTGCCTATAACCCTACAGTAAATATTCTTACTGTCTTTTAAATACATTTTATAGCTGGGCATGGTGACTCACACCTGTAATCCCATCATTTTGAGAGGTGGAGTTCAGGGGTTTAAGACCAGTTTGAGCAATATGGCGAGACAATAAAGTAAAAAATCAGCCAGGCATGGTGGTACATGCCTAGGGGTGGCTCCAGCTACGGGGAAGTCTGAGGCAGAAGGATAGCCTGAGCCCAGTAGGTCAATGCTGCAATGACTGTGAGCATGCCACTGCACTCCAGGTTGGGCTACAGAGCAAGACTCCAATTAAAAAATAATAATAATACATTTTATGGGCAATTTTTCCATCTACGTAATTCCTTACCACCAAAGGAAAATGGCATATAAGAAGAAACAATGACATCAAGTCACTGCTAAGTAGTACAGTTTTTGACAGCATCTAGAAATAACTGCATCATTTATTTACATAAATCTCCAAGTGTACTGCTCATAAAATACTATAAGTGCTCAATGTCAGAAGGTAAACAAGATATCATGCTATATAGCTAAGAAGTACTGAATATTATGGCAATATAGTAACAAATACTTACCCTTGTCCAATTTTTTCATATCTTGTATATTTTTTCTTAGGGTCGCCTATGCTCACAATAGTTCCTATTTTAAACAAATTCAAAAAAAGTTGGAAGCTCAATCAAGCATTTTAAGTACAAACTAATTTTGAGATCATTATCGTTTTAATAAACTCCGCTGATTTTAGGACAGTGGCTTTCAAACATTAACACAAGAATCTTAAATACATAACAAAAGTAAAGAAGTATCAGAAGCAAGAAGATGGACATTTCCATTAAGTTAGACCTCCTAACTAATCACCTTCTCAAGGGTGATCACATTTCAGAACAATTAACTGCACGAGTTTGCCTGAGATTAACTGGGTTCTCAGATGCTCAGCTTTATAACTCTTGGGGAAATGGACAAGTTGGTGACTCTACTTTTCTCCTCCACTGAAATCTATTAAGCTAGTAATAGGTTATAAATACATTAACTCTTAGAAATATATAAATGGTATCCAAATGAATAACCCTAAATGACTTTTCTGACTCTTCCAGTATATCTTCTATCTTTCAATATATTCACAAAAGCACTTATTACCAGGAAGATTACTCTACTTTTATATGAATGAATCTTGTATCTATTGTAGGCAAGTTCAAAGTCATAAGAAACAGGTTTTAAAATTAGTAAATTTTTATTTACTGCAGAGTCAAGATCTCGCCAAGTTGCTCAGGCTGGTCTCGAAGCCCTGGGCTCGGCAATTCTCTTGCCTTCACCTCCCAAATTGCTGGGATTATAGGCGTGAGCCACTGTGCCCGGTTGCTCTTAGCCTCTTGTTGTTCATCCTGTTCCTTTACTTGTTGACTTGAGGTTTGGTACCTACATAAAATGATTTATGTGACTTTCCTTGATGTATCCCTGTCTTTATATCTTGAGCAAGTAAAAATTTAGAGTGGTTTTTCTTACGTTTTGACTTGTAATAAGAATATAAGTTACAGTCGGGCTCAGTGGCTCAGCCTGTAATCCCACGCCTTTGGGAGGCTGAGGTGAGTGGATTGCCTGAGTGAGCCCGCGGGTTCGAGACCTGTCTGGGCAACTTGGCGAGAGCTCATCTCTACAATAAATCAAAAAATTAGACAGGTGTTATAATGTGTGCCTGCAGTTCCAGCTACTTGGAAAGCTGAGAGGGAAGGATTGCTGGAAGCCAGTGGGTTGATGCTGAGGTGGCCATTGGTGTGCCACTGCACTCCAGCCTGGGCAATGGAGTGAGACTCCAACTCAAAAAAAAAAAAATTAGCTGGGTGTGGTGGTATATGCTTATTATAGTTTCAGCTACTTGGGAGGCTGAGGCGGAAGGATCACCTGAGTATAGGAGGTTGAGGCTGCAATGGGCAGTGATCGTGCCACTGCACTTCAGCCTGGGTGACAAAGTGAGATCTCGATTCAAAAATAAACAAACAAATCAATCAATCAATCCATCCATAATGTATTTTTCTTTGAACCCTCTTTATAACTATAGTTGTTACAGATTTGTCATAAGATGTTATTGTTACCTTCTCTCTGGCATTGTTTACATTATTTTCAATGCTTGACAGTGGCCAGTGATAGCTGATAAAAGGGAGAAGGAGTCAAGTGTAGTGGCTCACACTTGTAATCCCAGCACCCTGGGAGGCAGAGGTGAGAGGATTACCTAAACTCAGGGGTTTGAGACCAGCCTGGGCAACATGAGGAGACCTGATCTCTACAATTAAAAAAAAAAAAATAATGAGCCAGGTGTAGTGGCGCACACCTGTGGTTCCAGATACCTGGAAGGCTGAGGCAGTAGGATCACCTGAGCCCAGCAGGTCACAGCTGCGGTGGCCGTGGGTGTGCCACTGCACTCCAGCCTGGGTGACAGAGATTCTGACTCAAAAAAAAAAAAAAGTGTTTAAAAAAAAAAAAGGAAGAGAAAAAAAATTTTCCATGGAACAGATTTTATGCCTACACACATTATCTCCAGAGGAAAGTCATTCTGTTTAGTTATTTAGGGATGTTTCTATAGGCTCATATTGAGAAGATATATGGTAGTTATGTATAAATATATACAAATCTCCTTTGATAAGGCTTCCGACTATGTCCCATAGAGTTGGCCTTTAAGGAAAAACTACTCTTCCCAAAGATACTGCCTATTGCAGAGGCACTACTCACTAGTCAACACATAACAGCTTTCTTTCTTTTTTAAAAAAATTTTTTTTTGAGTGGGAATCTAACTCTGTCGCCCAGGCTGCAGTATAGTGGCATACTTAAGGCCACAGCAGCCTCGACCTGCTGGGTTCAGGCAATCCTTCTGCCTCAGTCTTCCAAGTAGCTGGAACTACAGGCACATGTAACAACACCCAGCTAATTTTTTATTTATCGTAGACACAAGGTCTTGCCAAGTTTCCCAGGCTGGTCTCAAACCTGTGGGCTCGGCAATCCTCTCACCTCTGCCTTCCAAAGTGTTGGGATTACAGGTGAACCACTGTGCCTAGCTATAACAGCTTTCAAATGCACTAATAAACAAAAAATTTTTGGCTTGATTAGACTTTAATTGTAGCTATCATTCCTATAAGAAAACAATTTATGCTTTATGCCTTAAATCAACATAGATGGTATAAATAAAAATCCACCTGGGCCAAATATTTTAAAAGTTGTTAATGTAAGAATAATGTAAAATGTAGATAACATACTTAATTTCTCCATAATCTCTTCATCTGTCATCTTGGTCTTCTTCTTTTGCTTGTCTGAAGACTTAGCACCGCTGTCAACAGTACTGTCGCCAACTGGTGCAGGAATAGGGTCAATCACAGACCGTGTGTAAATCTGCAGAGACAGAGTTCATTACTGAGATTTAAGGAATAGTATTTTCAGATATTCTTACTGGCATACTATTCAGGTCTTTGATTTTTAGCCTAAACTAAGTTGTCTGCTCCTCTGCTCTAAATAATGAGAATAATATTCTCAGACTGTAAAAGACATGTAACTAAGAAGAATACACGTGGAACATTTTTTCTTTGGCAAAGCACATATATGTTTTAAAAGTTTGTCTTGCAAAATAGTAGGTCCATGAATGAAATTTAAGTGGGACTGAAATGGTACAATTATGTAGCATAAAGCGAAGTTTAAAAATCATGTTTTTAATCACAAAAGACAAATAAAATGCAAAAGGATAGAAACCTTGATGTTGAAATAACTATTAATTCTCACAAGTTTTTATGCAATTATAATGCATTTTATAGAATTATAATGCCTGTAATGTCTGAAATTTCATTTCAAACACCAGTTCTAAAGGGACAAAGAAAATGAAAACCTCAACCATGCACCAGAATCCAGCGGCAGGCCTCAGAGCCTGGCCTCCAGTCCTGCTGGTGCCACATCCCATCCTGAGGCACAGCACCCTCTCAGCCCCTTATCAGTAGAGAGAGAAGGATGGCAGTTGTGGTGGTTCCTCCCTTCTGGCTCCATTTAAGGTTGTTACTGTTAAAATTCTCCCTCACCTGGTTAGGATTTTCATTCTTTTTTTTTTTTTGGAATAGGAATCTTATTCTGTCGCCTAGACTGTGGTGCAGTTGTACACGTACGGCCACCACAGCCTTGACCTGCAGAGCTCAGGTTATCCTTCCACCTCAGTTTTCCAAGTAGTTAGAACTACAAGCACATGCTACCACACCTGGCTAATTTTTGGTTTTTTTTTTTTTATTGTAGAGACAAGGTCTCGCGCCAAGTTGCCCAGGATGGTCTTGAACCCCTGGCTTCAGACAACCCTCTTGCCTCTGCCTCTCAAAGTACTGGGATTACAGGTGTGAGCCACCACACCTGGCAAAAAATTTCATTCCTAACTGCCTCTTGAATGAAGGCTTTGAGAAAAATTTAAAACAGGAGATAAAAAATATAATCTGGAAAGAGGAAAGATCTAAGTTTTAGATAAACAGAGAAAGCCAGAGGAATAGATAAATTCTCTGGAAAAGAAGGGATAATATAAAAAGAGAAAAAGACAGTGAGTTAAGTATCTTAACTTTTAGGACATTATTACATTTTAATTTTCAAAAAACTAGTTTTTGATGAGTGGTCTTTAGGTAAAGATCTCTTAGTTAAGTTTCCCCATGGTAAGTCAAATACAGACTGCTGGGGTTTTTTGGGGGGTTTTTTGAGTCAAGGTCTCACTGTAGCCCAGGCTGGAGTGCAGTAACACAATCATGGCTCACAGCAGCCTTGACTTGACCCTCGACCTTCTGGGCTCAGGTGATCCTCCTGTCTCAGTCTCCCAAGTAGCTGGGACTACAGGCACACACCACCATGCCTAGCTAATTTTTCTTCTTTTTTTGGTAAAGACAAAGTCTTGTTATGTTGCCTAGGTTGGTCTCAAACTCCTTAACTCAAGCAATCCTCTCAGCTTACTCTCACAAAGAGCTGGGATTATAGGTATGAGCCACTGCACCCATAGATTGCTGTTTTTTAAAACACACATGCACAGACACACACAGCCCAGTTTACTAATTAAACGCTCACTGATTTTGTATGATCTGGTCGTGGGGCAATAACAGGAGGAGCAGTCTCTTCATCATCATCGTCTTCCTCTGTTACTACTGCTGCTGTTTCTGATCCCTTGGCATTCAGCTATATTTATCATATGAGCAAAGGAAGACAAGTCAAATAGGTTAAAATATGACTATCTTTTTTAACATACTTGAAAAAGTTTATTTATTTGATAGCTCATTTCAAAACCATTAAGTCTCACTGGTTCTATTATCATTTAAAAAGTAAAGGTGATTCTATAAATTATGAAAAAGTAAATGAAATAAACAGATATGGTGAATATCAAATATTCTTGAGAGTACTGTTTACACCCTTTAAATAAATACACCTATACAATGCCCTAAAAGTAATCAACCAATATATTTGTTAATACCAAAAACAAAATTCTCCTGGGCTCTGTATATGTCAGAGTCATTTTGGGACATTTAAAACAGCCAGATATACTCAGAAAAGGTGTTGGCTAATGCGGCAAAAGGGCAAGGAGTTAACTTTTATATGGAGCGTATTATGTGCCACACATAGGTAGGCAGGTATTTCACATATTGTCCCATTTTGTCCTCATATAACACAGGAGATTGTTTTCCTCCAATCCAGGAACTAAAAATAAAACCATCACTGTTTCCAAGAGGTAATAAAGTAACTGTGTTTAGATGATAACCAGCTTTAGACTCAAAGACTGACAAGGTTTAGCTGTCCAGTACCTTCCCACAGTCTATATTTGGAGACTAGGACCTGAAAGAGAAGTGGATGGGGTAAAGGTGGGGACAGGAAATATGCTAGCAATTCTTTGTACTCAACTTTGCATATGTAAACATTACCAAAAGTAGCCAGACTGCTCCGAAAGTCATTATACATTTTAGTTACATTAAGTATCATACCAAGGAATTTTTATTTACTTAATATGGTTTTTTCAACTAATCAAGTGGCAAGCTAAAAATGCATATTAAGTAGCTATTCACCTCTAAATTACAAGTATTCCAAATTACTGTAGAAAGCAAAATAAAATCTGAGATTTGTTTTGGGTAACTTAAATGAGAACAAGAGCTACAAGAAATGACATCATTAACTTACTGCTGGTGTTCCAGAAGGGAAGCCATCTTTTTCTGGATATGAAACAAAAAATAATGTTAGCAATTCAAGAAATAACATTTTTAGATGATAAAAGGAAAAAAAGTAAAGCAGAGCAAATGAAATTTCTGAAACTGATTTCATTTTAAGTTGAGTTAACTCTTGAGAAAAATAACAATACTGGTATTTAAATAAGAATTTTATATAAGACCAAGCTAATGAATCTAAAATTTTCATGAAACTCTGTAAATTTACTAACAATCAACAGATTATATACTTAAAATGGGTGAATTGTATTGCATGTAAACTATTCCTCAATAAAATTATTAAAACTTGTTTGAAATTGTATCCCTCAATCTGTATTTATTCATAAAGATACTATCTCCAAAAAACTACCTACTGAGGAACTTACAGCAATCATTCTGACTATGGCAACTGTACAAAGTAAAATCTTGACAGTTTTGTTTTTTCTTTTCTTTTTAAAATGCCTAGAGACTGAAAGTGGTTGCCCATGCCTATAATCTCAGCACTTTGGAAGCCAAGTCAGGAAGATCCTTTGAGCTCAGCAGTAAAATTTTCTAAAAATGTGCTGGGTGAGGTGGCTCATGCCTATAATCCCAGCACTTTGGGAGGCTGAGGTAAGAGGATTGCCTTAGTCCATGATCTCGAGACCAGCCCAGACAACATGGTGAGACCTTGTCTCCACAATAAATCAAAAAATTAGCCAGGCATGATGACACATGCCTATAGTTCCAGCTATTTGGAAGACTGAGGCAGAAGGTCGAGGCTGCGGTGGCTGGCCATTAGTGTGCCACTGCACTCCAGCCTGTGCAACAGAGTGAGACTCCAACTCAAAAAAACAAAAACAAAAAAAGCCCAGAGACTTGGGGGGGGGGAAATATATATATATCTTATATATATAATATTTAGATTATAGTTATATATAAAATGTGTGTGTATATATATATATTTGATGAAAAAAGCTACCATTTTCTGGTCAAACATTGATTCTTTTAAAGAAAATTATTAATTTACACAGACTTACTAGTTGACACAAAAGTTCCAGGAACAAGTCTGACCTTTTCTTAAGGGTGTACTAAACAAAAAAGGCCAAGATCACTTGCAAAGAGGTTTCTATTTCTTCCTTGAGCATAGCTTTTATTTCTGTGAATATGTGATTCATATCCTTAATATGCAGGCATATTAAGTACAATTAATTAAAACCACATGTGTGATTTTAGGTCAATTGTATTGTTTTAAAAATTACATGTAAGACTTCAGGCAGAGAAACAAGTGACATCGTAAGGATGTAGTGAACAAAATCTTAACTGAGGGAAACAGGAAAAATGATCCTGTTTCTTTAGCAAATAAATTTTACAAGAAAAGACAGCGTGAACCAATGTGAGAAAGGAAAAGTCTAAATATCAAAAGAGAGATAAGACATAGCAAACTGTAGTGAATGGACTTTATTCTGATCCTGATTTGAATAAACTGTTTTTAAAAACCACTATACATCAATTCTTAGATCACTGGTTTGCTCAGAAACAAAAGGCTATATCTCAGATACTATAAGGTTAAGACAGTACTGAGATCCAAACTATGGTTAAAAACTGCCCCCATCAAAAAAAGAAAAAAAAACTGCCCCCGTCAGTCTACAAAAGGCAGAATCTACGCTGGGAGAAAAGTAGAGACAAGAACCAACGTCTAACTTTTTATTTTTCCAGAAGTAATCATTTCATCTAGAAGTGTTTTGCCAACTGTCCACTGGATTCAGCCTTTTACCATGGTCTTACCGGGAGGAGTAAAGCTCAGATATTTCTGTTTCACTGTGTTGGAGTCGTAAAACTTTAAGACATCCAGCACAGCCTGAGGGTTCTTCTTTTGCTCTAGTTTGGTGATATTGGAGGTCTGTAATAATCGAGCCCACTGTTCTGGCATTCCCTAACAAAAAAGATATTCAGAAATTAGCTGTGGTCTAAATTTCTCTAATAAAATCAAAATCCAGAGATAAATGACAAAATACATCAAACAAACCAATCTACATTATTGTAGGCTTGACTAAATTCTAACAGGTTTCGCTTTCTACATCTATTTTGCATAATTATAATTAAATAGACTCAGCATGCTAAGAAAAAGATATATCCAACCACTAACACTTTTATAAGTAGCCAAAACAGTAAGAATTCACAGTTAACACAGGGATAGAAAAGTAAACTTTAAACTTAATGCTGAAGGAAAATGTTTGAGAGCTATTTTAATGTTTTAAATGAACCCCAACTAGGTAAACTTACAGTGAATTCTCCAGTAACAGCATCAAAGCCAACATGAATGGTGTGTTCAAAATCAGATGGAGGAGAAATTTCTGGCCGTTCCTTTTCTTTCTTTTTACTTCCTAGAGGGAATTAAAAAAAAAAACCTATTTAAATAAGGTTAGTAAAGGTACTTATAATCAAGTTTATATTTTTCCTAAAACAAATTAGGAACAAATTTATTCTAGAAAGGATTGAAAAACAAAGTAAAGCAACCTGTCCTGCCACAAAGGAGGGGTGGGGACAACCAGAATGTGTACCGATTGAAGAGGTACACGATCTACCAGCACTAGGCCTGAGTAAAAGGGTACAAGCAGAAGAGGCATCCCCTTAATAAGGGTACTGGTTCTCTCATAAATAAAAGGCTATATCTCAGATACTGAGCAACTTGGAAAACATAGCATATCAAATCCAATTTCCATTTAGCGATATGCATCCAGAAAGTAAAACTCACCTCACTATGATTGTATAAGTCAAAGACACCATAAAAACAAGTCGTTTACAAAGGTCACCTCTCCTTTCTTGTGCAACCCTACTCCTTTCTTTTTACTGGAATTACTAACTGCCACATTTAAAAACTACTCAGTTTTTTTATGGCTCCACCATAAATTATTTTTGCAACATTTCTGTCAGATCCTATCAATTATATTCTTTGTAGATTCAAACATATCAGTTTATCTTTCCACGGCCACCTTCCATTCTGTTTCTCCTGTTCTAATTTGCAGTAGTTCAAAAGCCTGAGCTCCCTATACAGCTGCCGCCCCACGACAGTCTTTCACTTCTGCCCGATGCTAGAATCTATTTTCTGGATTCTCTGTTTGAAGAAAATTTCTTAACTGAGTTTTCTGATCCATAACAACAGCAAAATCTCTCCATTTGTTTAGGTCTTTTAAAATTTCTCTCAGCAATGTCTGTAGTTCTCTTAGGCCATTTCATACTTCTACATCAGAATACCACAGACTAGGTAATTCATAAGGAATAGAAGTTTATTTGGCTCTTAGTTCTAGAGGCTAAAAAGTCTAAGACCAAGGGGCCACGTCTAGTGAGGGCTTCCTTGCTGCATCCTAACATGCAGAAGGCATCACACTGTAAAACAGAGTATAGGAAAGGGCCCAAATTTGCTTTTATACCAACACATTTCAATGACCATGACATTAATCCATGCATGAGGACTCTGATCATCTCTTATTAGGTCCCACCTCTAAACTTCTGCCCTGGGGATTAAATTTCGAATATATCAAAAGAAAAAAAAGTTTCCATCACATGAACTTTGGGGGACACATTCAAACCACAGCAGTAGTTATCAGTGTAGAGAGTACAGAGCTGTCACTGTTTCGTCAGATTTCTGCTTCAGTATTTCATAATTCTGGATGCTACTGCAAATGGCAGTTTTAAAATTTCAATTTCAACTGTTCACAGCTAGCATACAGAAACACAACTGAATCTTAAATACTGACCTTATATCCTGAAACTTTATTATATTTACTTCCTTTAATAATTCTGTAAATATCATAGGATTTTCTATATACATTTAATCATGTTGTTGGCTAATAAAGTCAGGTTTATTTCTTCCTTTTCAGTCTGGATTCCTTCTATTTCTTCTTATTATTTTTTTGCCTTTACTGCACTGGCTAGAACCTCCAGTGTACTGCTGAATAAAAGTGATAAGAAGGGAAATTCTTGTATTTTCTTCCTGATTTAAAGGAGAAAACAGTTATTCTTTTTACCATTAAGTTTAATAGTAAACTTAAGCCAGTGGTAGGTTTTTTAAAGATGTCCTTCATCAGGTTAAGGGCATTCTCTGTCTCATCCTATCTGAGTTCTGGGATACTGCTGGTGATAATTTCAGTACTGTATATTTATTCCAGTTTTCATAGGGGGAAGGGGTGATTGAAGCCAGTTTGTTTCTAGATCACCACTTTGGAACTGGAAGTCCCTATTTTCTTCATTCTATTTAATTTGTTCATTACTTAGATCATTATTAGTTAGATCTTACAATTTTTTTTTTTTTTGGTAGAGATGAGGTCTCAAACACCTGGGCTCAAGCAATTCTTCCACCTCAGCCTGTAGCTCTCGGGCACTCTCACCTAGGCCTCTTAAAGTACTGGGATTACAGGTGTGAGCTTCCGCACCGGGTCTTTGTATTGGTCTTTCACTCTCTGAGAGAATTTTCTTGACTATTTTCCAATCTTCTTCCTATTGATAACTTTTGTTTTGGTAATGTTAAATGTTGATATTTCAAGAATTATTTCTCACTGATCTCTGATCATTCTTTCTCTAAGAATCTTTTGCTTGTTTCACAGATTCAATTTATCCTCTCTTTGAAGATTATGTGGTATATGCCTATGTATAGGAAGGGGTTTTTGGTTTTTCTCCCTACATTGTCTGTTTTTTTTCTAAGTTCTTCTTTTCCCCTAATTGTTTTGGACTTCCTTATGGTTTAAAGGTTTTTCATAAATATCTGGTGATCTTTTGCTACCTACTCCTACAGAAAAGTATTAAAAAGCTAACTGGGAGATAAGTTGGCCTTTTTACCAAAGATGAGGACAGGATGCAAGCTATCTGAAATAAACATTTTTTTCCAGGCCATTCTGTTTATTCAGAGAAAATCTTCAATCTCTTGGCTGAGGGCTATGAATCAGGCTACTATCACAACCTTTTAAGCTACATTTGAGCTAGAGTCTAAGGCAAAGACAACAACAACAATAACAAAAACAAACAAACCTCAAAAAAACTCCATATCTGTATGAAAGGAATTATCTTCTGTTTCTAGTCTAACAATCTAGCAATTACTCCTTTGTTCTTTTGACCTAGAATAGTTTCAAGTATGTAAAACTAAATATGTTCTATGACACAGAAAGGCATTCTCTAGGAAATAAGCAGAGAAATTTGGGTGAACATTTTTAATATTAGCATTAGATTTTTAGACAAGATATTTACAGATATAAGTCATAGCCCACCGGAAGTGAAGGTGCTTATAAGTTGAATAACTCATTGTGAAAATTTCTTTAGTTAAGAAATACTATACCACTCAACACTAGTTATCTGAACGAAGCTTAAAAAATCAGACAGGACAATAGCTCATGACAATTTTCATTATTAAAACTAACAGAAGCCAGGCGCGGTGGCTCACGCCTGGAATCCCAGCACTTTGGGAGGTGGAGGCAAGAGGATTGTCTGAGACCAGGGTTTTGAGACCAGCCTGAGCAACACAGTGAGACCTGGTCTCTACAATAAAAAAATCAATCAGGAGTGGTGGTGCATGCCTGTGGTTCCAGCTACTTGGAAGGCTGAGGCAGATAAACTGTCTGAGCCCAGCAGGTCGAGGCTGCAATGGTCATGAGCAAGCCACTGCACTCTAGCCTGGGAGACAGAGTGAGACTTCAACTCAAAAAAAAAAGCTACTAGAGACTGGTTAAGCCATTTCTCACCTGGGCTACTGAAAGCCTCCTAACTGGTTTCCGATGTCAGTCTTATACTCATTTTCACAATGAGTTATTCAACTTATAACCTTTTTTCTATAAGCTACCAGTCTCTTCTACCTAAAACAGAAAGGTGACCAGGTCTCTCCACCATTTAAAAATGTGTAACAGGGCCAGGCACGGTGGCTCAGCCTATAATCCCAGCACTTTGGGAGGCCGAAGTGAGAGGATTGCCTGAGCCCCGGGGTTCAAGACCAGTCTGGACAACTTGCTGAGACCTCATCTCTACAATAAATCACAAAAACTAGCTGGGTGTGGTGGCATGCATCTGTAGTTCCAGTTACTTGGAAGGCTGAGGCAGAAGGCTCACCTGAGCCCAGCAGGTCAAGGCTGCAATAGACGTGAGTGTGCCTGCCACTGCACTCCAGCCTGGGGACAAAATGAGACTGCAATTCAAAAAAAGAGAGAGAGAAAAGACAAAGATACTGCTGAAAGAGTAAAGGGAAAATCACAACCTAGAACACCGTATTTATGACACATAACTAACAAAGGATTAGTATACAGACGATAAAGAATGTTAATTAACACATTTGCAACCGGCGAATTTTTCACTTTCCTAATACTGAGAGAGGAGAAAACTGCTGCAAACTTGTCGTTAAGCACAAATGAAACAGTCTTTTCTAAATTGTCACCTTTTTCACAATACTGCTGAAAGTTGCAGACATACCCATTATTTGCCTCAGACAACACTCTGACTAGCATTCTGTTCTTTGTATTTTTATTCAGATTATAAACCTGAAAAGACAGTCTTTCACCATGAGGTAAATTCACATCAGTAGCAACCAGGAACAGCATTTGAAATGACATAAATTCACGTCAGTGGTCACAAATGAGTTAATAAGGAAAAAACTAACAACCCAAAAGAAAAACGAATTAACAACCTGAAAAGATATTTCACAGAAAGCACCTGAGGTCAGGCTAATGGTCAATTAACCTGAAAAAATGCTTGTCACCCAAGTAATCAGAGAAACACAAACCAAAACCACAACGAGCTATTATTTCAGCCCGTCAGAAATGAAGATTCAGTGATAGAAAAGTTGGTGAGGATGCTCAGCAATGGGAACTCTCATCTTCACCGGGTAAGAACGAACATTAAAATACTTTAGAAAGCAACTCAACAAACCCAAGTTAAGTCACACCTGGGTACAGCTGGAGCCTGCAATTCTACTCCTAAGTCTATACCTCTGGGTAAATTTTAAATCTTTGAACAAGACGTGCTTGGTGGCTCAGCCTGTAATCCAGCGCCTTGGGAGGCTGAGGTGAGTGGATTGCCTGAGCCCGTGGGTTCAAGACCCGCCTGGGCAACTTGGTGAGACCTCATCTCTACAATAAATAAAAAAATTAGCTGGGCGTGGTAGCGCACGCCTGTAGTTCCAACTACTTGGAAGGCTGAGGCGGAAGGATCGCTGGAGCCCAGCAGGTCGAGGCTGCGGTGGCTGGGAGCGGCCACTGTACTCTAGTCTGGGCGACAGATTGAGACTCCAACTCAAAAAAAAAAAAAAAAAATTTGAACAGGACTCACACCAAGAAATGCATTTGACATCCTGACCCAGGACACATAATTGAAACAAGTATTTCACAAACAAATTTTACTGTGTGCACTATACTCTAATTATTTCTATTCGTGCCATTTGCTAAACAGATTTCATAACCCACCAATACACTGGTTTTTAAAATTCAGTGTACATCAGAATCAATAGGGATATTTAAAAAATTAAAAACAGAAACAAAACTAATGCCCAGGTAAGCCCCTGAAGATGATGGTTAAATTGGAATGGGGATGGAGTTTGAACACAGAGTTATTTAATTTAATTAGTAATTCAAGAATTGCTAAACTAATGAGTCACCTGAAGTTTGAGAGCTTTGCTCTAGAGAAAGTCTTGCACACATCCAGCAAGGTATATATATGTTCAAGATTATCTACAACAGCATTATTCGTGAAAACAACCCAAATGTCTACCAATAGGAGACTGGTTAAATAAACTGCAGTATATTTATACAGTATAAAGTATACAGCAGTGAAAATGAACAAACTACAGCTACATATATGAACATTAGCTGTGAAAATAAATGAACTACAGCTATACATATCAACATAAATCTCAAAAACATAAAGCTGAGTGAAAAACATAAGTACTGGGAAAAAAGGCAGACAGTATAATTCTTTTTCATAAGAGATTCCAAAACAGGTATGCTTAAACCATATATTATCTGAGGTTGAATACACACACATATACACACACACATTTTTTTTTGAGTCGGAGTCTCACTCCGTCGCCCAGACTGGAGTGCAGTGACACGCTCATGGCCACTCCAGTGTTGATCCGCCAGGCTCAGGCAAGCTGGAACTACATGCGCGTGCTACCATGCTGGGCTAATTTTTTTATTTACTGTAGAGATGAGGTCTTGCCAAGTTGCCCGGGCTGTTCTCCAACCCGTGGGTTCAGGCAATCCTCTCACCTTGGCCTCCCAAAGTGCTGGGATTACAGGCTTGAGCCTCCACATCCGGCCAAATGAACAGATATATTATAAAATCATAAAAAGCACAAAATTCAAGACAGCGCATTTTGGGGAGAAGGAGAACAGGATAGGATGCGGCAGAAGAGGACTTTAAAAGAACTGATTTACAGCTACATGGAAGGCTGAGGCGGAAGGATCACCTGAGCCCAGCAGGTCCATGCTGTGGTGGCCATGAGCATGCCAATGCACTCCAGCCTGGGTGACAGAGTGAGACTCCGACAGAAAAAAAAAATCAAAAGGAAGTACTGATAAAACTCTAGACTGGGTGGAAGCTACAAAAAAGTTTTATTAAAATGTACGTTATGTATGCTGTTGAGTTACTGATGTCAACACAAAGTAAAAAATTAAAGTAAAATTAAAGTTCTAAAACAACCTAAACTGATCAAAAGTTTAAAAAAAAAAAAAATTACACAGTGGCTGCCGGAGGCCAGGCAAGAGTAGACTTATTTTTGTTTGAAGTTTATTTTTTTTTTGAATTGGGGTCTCACTGTCTCCCAGGCTGGAGTACAGTGGCTTGATCACAGCTCACTGCAGCCTCGATATTCTGGGTTCAAGTGATCCTCTTGCCTCACCTCCTGAGTAGCTGGGACTGCAGGCATGCACCACCACACCTGGCTATTTTTTTTTTTTTGGGCAGAGATGAGGTCTTGCTAAGTTGTCCAGGCTGGTCTCAAACTCCTGGCCTCAAGTGATCTTCTCACCTCAATCTCCCAAAGTGCTGGATTACAGGTGTGAGTCACCACATCTGACCTATAAAATATGTATGTTATATATGCTACTGTGTTTATTATATCAACACAAAGTAAAAAAGCAAAATTCTACTTGAAGTTCTAAAACAGGCTAAGCTGATCAAAGGTTACACACACACATGCACACACACACACACACACACACACACACACACAGTAATTGCTTGAGGGAAGGACAAGAGTAGATTTACTGGGGATAGAACATGACAGAATTTTCTGGGGAGATGAAATATTCTATTATATGACATGATGATAGTAACTATGGTTTAAATGGGTGTATTCATTTGTCAAAACTGTACAATTAATAACCGTACATTTTGATATATGTAATTTTATCTAAGAAATAAGTCAAGTGGAGGCAGAATGATGAAAATTATTGAAGCTGGGTGATGGGGTTCATTACACTATTCTACTTTGTATATGTTTGACATTTTCAATCATAGCAATTTTTAAGAGAAAAAGAATTAGATAAGGCAAAGGTATTTATTAACAAGCTTATAATGTTTTAAGATTAGCACTAAAAAGTTGTTAGATCTTGACTATAAACAAAATAAAACAAAGACTTCAGAAATCACCAACAGAAATTGAATGAATACTAATTACAGATATCAAGAATTGATAAACCTAAATGCAACCAGAGTCATCTCTAGGAAACCAGCCCCCTCACTCTCCCTTAGTTAGGGGGGCCTTGAGTTAGCTGCAGCTAAGTAATTCTGGGCGAAAGGAATGGAAAGAAGGGGGTTAATAAAGGAGAAACTGGAAGTTCTCAAAATGATCAAAGTTCTCAAAATGATCTTTTGCAAATATATGTTCAATTTGATCACAAGTCCTTCCATTATCCAAAATCAAGTACTAAATGGTCCATACTTTCTCTTTTGTTTCATCTTACGTTCTTCTTCTCTCCTCAAGTGTATTTTATTTTGAGAATTCCACTATCCCACCTTGGATTCTGGTCCTCCACAGGCAAGTAATTTTAACTCTGTAAGCAAATTCTTCTGGTACTAACCTTCACCATTTTTAATATAACCTCCATTATTTTAAGTACCATGTTTACACTGTCATTTTTAAGTTTTCTCATTTTAAATATACTAACTCATTACTATGGAAGATGAGGATTTAGCCCTCTCCAACAAACACTTTTTTGCTGCTCTCCATCAGTTTTTGGTTCACTGCTTCATCTTTTCCTTTATACTTCACCTAATCCAGTCAAGGACATTTTTCATTCTCAAATAACTCAAGTTATTCTGTGGAATAAACTTAAAAAAAGAAAAAAACCCCACAAACTTCCATTAAGTTTTTCAGCTACAACTTCACATGAAATCTTAATAAAAGCAAAATCAGAAATAATACACAATAAAATGAACAAACAGATTTTCACCTGATCAATGATTATTTTCTGTCAGCAAATCTAACTTCTCTAAGATTTGATTCTTTGTTAATACTATCTCATTGGCTAGGCTCAGAGGCTCAATCTGTAATCCCAGCACTTTGGGAAGCTGAGGCGAGTAGGTTGCCTGAGCCCGCAGGTTCGAGACCAGCCAACTTGGCGAGACCTTGTTTCTACAATAAATCAAAACTTAGCTGGGCATGGTAGCGTGCGCCTGTAGTTCCAGTTACTTGGAAGGCTGAGGCAGAAGGAGCCCAGCAGGCTGACGCTGGGGTAGCCGTGAGAGTGCCACTGCACTCTAGCCTGGGCAAGAGAATGAAACTCCGATTCAAAAAAAAAAATGTTAATTCAAATTTTCACTGACTACATATTATATAACCTCAAATTAAATGTGTATTCAGTATTCTTAGGTATAAGGCACCATACTTCTACTTGGGTTTACCTCTCCACACAGAATATTAGGAAAAATATTCTTATCTCTGCTTATATTTACTACCAGCTACCAGAGCCATGCTTAATGTGATTAAACAAATGAATCCCTTACCCTTATTCTAAAAATCCATTAGTCCATTGTCCCTTATCCAATTCTAAAATCCAAAAAGCTCTGAAAACCAAAAGTTTTTTCCTTAAGTTTGACACCAAAACTAATTTAGTGACTTTAATTTATATGAGATTATTTATAGTCTTTATCTCACCTTTGTGTGACCAGACCAGTGGTTCTTAACTGGGAGTAATTTTATCCTTCAAGAGATATCTTACAGGTCTAGAGACATTTTTGGTTGTCACAATTGGGTGCAAGGTGCTACTGACATCTAGTGGGTAAAAGCTAGGAATGCTGCTGAACATCTTATAATGCACAAGGACAGCTCCAACCAATTATTTGGCCCCAAAATGTCAATAGTGCCAAGGTTGGGAAACGCTGGACTAGACATATATTTTGCTGAAGACACATCAATGTGTTGATTACTGAGGTTGCCCCAGATACTTCTGTGAGGGCACTACAGAATACCTGACAAAAGTATTTACTACTCCAAACTCAGAAAAACTCTTAATTCCAAAACATTTTAGAAGGGTTTTAGATAGGGGACCGTGGAACCTACCTACCATTTTTAAAGCCATAACCTATGGTCAAGGTCTGAGAAAATGAATACGATAAATATACAAATTAATTGCCCCTAACAAGTAGAAGAGCAATAACTGTATAGTTTTTTTTATCACAATTTAAAATAAATGAGCTCTTAAAATAGTGCCTGCATATTAGCACAATTGTTTTCTTTCATCTGTTTTCTTGTTCTCATCATAAAATATATCAATATGGGCAACACAATAATAAACCAGTACTGAGACTTTGAAGACCATAAGAGCTACTTACCTTTCTCTGTGCCTGAGAATATGGAGATGATTTTATTCCTGGGTTTTTTTTCCTCTGGAACAGAGGGTAAAGGTTTCAGACTGTGATTGGCTGACAAAGGGTCTTTGCCTCCAGTGCTAAAAATGGTACTGCTCATTCGCACAGGTGGTGCTGGAGGCTTGTCTTCCAATTCTCCGTTATCAGACATGATTCAGAATTATGAAATGGCCTGAAAGAGATAAACAATCCCCCCCAAAACCCATATAATTAATAACAAGGTAAAAAATAGTATGAACAAGCAAAAACCCCCCAAACAACTTCAAATTAGACGTTATCTACTCAGAATGACATTTGCAAAAGTGGGGGGAAAAAATCAATGCGATTTAACTGGTTATCAACAAATGTAATCTCCCCTTAAAAAGTTGGTAAATGGTTAGTTGAAGGAATGTTTGAAGGAATGTTTGAAAACAGAAAGCATGATTACATTTCAAAAGCTATTCACCTAATCAATTAATTCTGAGACTATTGCAATGGAAAGATATAAATCATGGAATCTTAAAACAAAAAAAAGTGAGAAAGAGAATTCCAAATAAAAAAGTAAGTTCTGACCAGCCAGTCATAGGATATCTCTGACAGGTCCATCTCTAGAGGTAGAGATGGATACTTGGCAATTAAACCAATCAAACTACACCCCTCTAATGTGATTTCATGTACAACAGTCCTGTGGTTACAACTCAGCTCTCAAATAGACTTTCTTAAAGGATTCCTAAAAGGATGTGTCACTACTAGATAAAGAAAATGTGGTACATATACATGATGGAATATTATGTAGCCACAAAGAAGAACAAAATTATGGCCTTCGCAGCAACTTGGATGCAGCCAGAGACCATCATACTAAGTGAACCATCCCAGAAACAAAGAACTGGATACCTCATGTTCTCACTCATAAGTGGCCCTTGAACACTGGCCACACTAGCACAAGGATGGGTTCAGCAGTTGCTGGACACTGCTAGGGAAGGGACAGGGACATGTGGTAACACACTGGGTACCTGGACCATTATCAGGAGAGAGGACCAACTAGAAGTCCAAACTTCACCTGAGTGCAACCTACCTATGTAATAAATCCTCACTTATACCCCACAACTCTAAAATAAAAATATACACGTATTTTAAAATTATAATATATACGCATATATGTAAAAGAAGAATGTGCTACTGATTAAGTATTTGGTCTCCAAAAGTCTGACATTCTAATTTAAACACATTAGTTTCTTCAAATTTTGCAACAGACACATGAGTTTCATCAATCTGGGTACACTGACAAAATTAAATCCAGAGCATGGTTGAGAGCCAGAATGTAGGCACAATCCCAAGATGCCATGATCCCATAATGCCTTGTCTAGGTAGTTAGGTAACCTCTTATCCACACAGCTAATTCAGCACAAACTTCACCTTGTTCACACATACTTATAAGTATATATTTTATGTATTTAAAAAAGTAGATAACACAAACTTTAAATCAGCAATAAAAGGGAGAGAATCCCTAAATTACATATGAGTTCTGATACCAAAGTATATACTAGGAAACATTTCCCCACTAAACAAAGTTTTGACTGGTAACTGGATCTTAATTTAAAGCATTATAAGTGAATAAAACTTCTCATATACACAATGAGAAGAATGCCAACTACTTTTAGAGAAAATTAAAAATATATTTTTTATTTAGTTTGAATGCTAGTACCTGAAGAAAAGTCAGTATATTATAGAAGAAATAAGGAATAAAGAGATTATGTCTAATTCCACTCCAAATCTTACAGGTTTTGTTTTCTTGGATAGAGTATGTCACTAGCAACACTACTGTGTATTTCATCTGCCAAAATGAAGTTTATTTTTCAGCCTCTAAAAATGTGAAAAACATATTACTGAGGGTAAATAGCTGGAGAAGAACTGGGAAAGGGGAGTAAAAAAGATCTTTATCTCTGTGTGAGAAAGACTGGTCCAAGGGGCTGGGATCTAAGATGGTGATGACAGGCCATCAGAGGATTCTAACGGCTGATCATATCACATGGGGTTTGTTTTATTTTGGGGTGGGACACAGCAGGATGCAACTGGCTATTCTTAAGTATGGGCTGCTACCAATGTGTATTATAAGAGGGGACCAATCTTGCTACAGATACAAGAAAGACAAGGCTTAGTAGCACTATGCCAAGGATTTTTTTGATGAATGGATAAGTCAAGACAAATGTTTAGGTTTTAATGTGACCATAACACCCAGGCATGACAGAGTATCCCAAGAGCGGCTCGCTTTCACCTGAATCATCTCAATCGCCAGTTACAACAGAAACAGCCCGTAAAGTCGCAGCTTTCACTTATTCCATGAATATTCCATGATTATGCATATTAAGTCAAAAATCAGGATCATATAACAAAACTTCAAAACATATTTACATACATGCATAGAAAGAAATGCACAAAATTACATAATTAACAGTGATTACCTATAGCTTAGTAAGTAGTTTTCAACTTAATCACTACCATCAGAGCCGTGGTTAAAATAAACTTAAAACAGGGCTCAATAATTACTTAGTGTAACTGACTACAAATTCTATCCCCAAGGTTTGCTCACAAATGGAACAGGAGTAGAAACTGCCAGTGCTAGCCAGGTGTGGTGGAGCATGCCTATAGTTCTAGCAACTTGGATGGCTGAGGTGGAAGGATCACCTGAGTCTAGCAGGTCCAGGCTGTGGTGGCTAATGCACCTTCAATTAAAAAAAAAAAAAATCTGCTGCATGTTGTCCAGTGTGGTGTGGTTAACAGCAAAGGTTCTGGAATCAGATTGCTTTGGTTGGAATCTTGGTTCCATCATTTTCTTAAGTGTGTGGCTTGGGCAAATTACTTAACTGTGCCTCAGGGCTCCTTGAAGAAATGGCTGGTTCTCGGCCTGGGACAGAGAAAATAAAAGATGAGCCTGAAGCATCTTGTAGTGTCAGGAGGTAAGGAAGTACTTTAAAAGGATAAGGATGTGTCAAAGAGATAGTGTTCCTAAAAGCCAGTGTTGGAATGATTCAAGCAACAAAATTAATACACAACTGGATTATAACCCAAAGTCTAAAATAAATATGTATCATTCTATATTGACACAAGCAATTGAATACACAAATAAATGGGGGAAAGGAGACAAATTTTTCTTACCCAAGAACTGCAAATATATGTAAATAGACCTCTCTCTAGGAGTCTGAGCTTAATCACCCTCCACTCTTGCATATAAGCTAGACTTAGTGACTCTCTTCCAAAGAGTATGGAAAGGGAAAAATAACTTTGCAGTGAAAAAACCTGGCAAACAGTGGATTAACCAAGTGATTAGGTAACATTACTAGTGATAAATCATGTTAATATCACTTACCCTCGAATTTAATGTGACGAGAAGCATACTTCACCTCTGTAGCATTCTTCCAAAACATATAGCCTCAGTCTAATCATGAGAAAAATACCAGACAAAACCAGATTGAGGGACACTCTACGCAAGTCCTAACACTATACTCCTCAAAACTGTCAAGAATGTGAAAAACAAGGAAAGACAGAAACTGCCACAGATCAGAGAACACTGAAGAGACATAGAGAATAAGTGCAACATGGTACTCTGAATTGGATCCTGGAACATGAAAAAGGCATTGGTGAAAAAATTGGGTAGAATACAAATAAAACCTAGAATTTAGTTAACAGTAATGAACCAATATTGGCTTCTTTGTTTTGACATACACATCATGGCTATGTAAGATCCTAACATTAGGGGAAGGTGAATGATAGTTATTAAGCAAATCTATCTTTGCAACTTGCCTGTAAATATAAAATTATCCCATAATAAAAAAAGGTATTAAAAAAGGAATCAGCAAATTTCTCAAAAATTAAATATAAAGCTACCATATGATCTAGCAATTCCACTCCCAGGTATATACCCAAGAGAACTAAAAAACATATTCACAACAAAAACGTATATTATGACTGTTCACAGAAGCATTTACAATGTCCAAAAGACAGAAACAACCTGAACATCCATCAACTGATGAATGGAAATACTAGTACAAAATGTGGCACATATCCATACAATAGAATATCGTTTGGACACAAAAAGGAGTGAAGTACTGATACATGCTGCAACCTGGATGAGCCTTGAAAATATCAAGTGAAAAAAAGTCAGACACAAAGATCACATATTGTATAATTTCATTTGTATGAAATATTCAGAACAGAGAAATTCACAGAGATGGTAAGTAGTTCAGTTCATAAAAAAGGTTGACTATTGGTAGCTAGGAAATGAAGAAAATGGGGTGGGACTGCTAGTGGGTATAAAGTTTCTCTGAGGGGCGACAACCTTCTGGAATCAAGACAGTGGTGATGGTTGTACAATATCGTGAATATACTAAAACTAAATTGTACACTTTAAAATGACAAATTTCAGGCCCTGCAAGTTAGTCTCAATAAGAAAGAAATTAATAATATCTACTTAGAGAATAAAGATTGAATAAAGATCAAAAGCTGCTATTGTTATCACCATGATTATTTATAAGAGACTATGTTAGATACTGGAGAAAATAAGATGACTCAGATCTTCTCTAAGAGTTTCTAATCTAGTGGGAAAGACCAATACATTACTTACATTAAGTTAGGTCGGCATGCTCTTGATCAACATTTGTTCTCAACATGCATACTAAATAGAGCTACTTATTTTGTTCAAAGTAGCAATTCTCAAAATATTTTGGCCTCAAGATCTGTTACACCTTTAAAAATTTAATGAGAATTCCAAAGAGTTTTTGTTTATAAGGGTTTTCTCTATCTACATTTATTATATGAGAAATTAAAAAGCAAAAGAAAAAATAAATTTAAAAAAAGGAATTAAAACAAGTTATTTAAATATTTAATTAATCTTAAAATAACAATAAACTCATTAAATGTTAATGTAAGTAATGTTTTTGTAAAAAAATGATTATTTCCAAAATAAAATAAATTTAGTGAGAAGTCTAACATTCTTTTATATTTCTGTAAATCTTTTTAATATGTTTTAGAAGACAGCTGGATTATCATATCTGCTCCCTAAAGATTAGCTGTGGAGCCAGGCTCCAGTGGCTCAGCCTGTAATCCCGTGCTTTCGGAGGCTGAGGTGAGTGGATTGCCTGAGCCCGGGTTCGAGACCTGCCTGGGCAACTTGGCGAGCCCTCATCTCTACAATAA